TCCAGTAAAACGGGTCTTCGGTTCTCTACACCCACCATACGAAACACAGCAGCATTAAGCTACTATTTTACGATGATATTCTGTGAGAGCGCGATCCTTTCCCGGTCGAGCCGACCCATTCGTGCTACAACCATAATATAGCTGTAGCGTGGCTCTACCACGTATAAAAAATCTTTTTATTGCTGAATATTTCACATAATATGTCAAAGTCCTGCGATTTTTTTTATAATTAGATATTTATGCTACCTCCTCGTCAATGTCAGAAAATTTATCAAAAAGTTAAGGATGTTTCCAAGAAAACTCATTTTCGGATCTGGTAGCCCTATCCGCGCCGGCTTCGCACGGGTGATTTCTGGACCTCGACAACAGGGTCACCTATTGGGTCCAAATGTGAATCACCTCTTGATAGCTAGGGGTAGCAGCCTCATGAGACCGCGGCCATATTCCGTCAAATCCCTAGCGGTGTCATAAGCCCGCACCCACCCACAACACTAACCCATAAAAACTTATTTATAGAGACTACTTTTCCATGAAGAGGTTTGGCAATACAGAATAAATATGAAATTTTCTATCGTCTAGTGCAATAAAAAGTTAGTTATCCTATAGATATTTATTTATAATCTACGTTCACTTCGTACGCCATTTTCGCGTGAATGTTATTGTGTTGATTTTTGGATTTTTTTAGTGTTTTAGTATAGTGTTTTATTATAAAATTGTAATGAAAGTTTTTGTGTGAATATAATTTATCTACATACGTAAATAATTTCGAGTAATATAATATATTGAAATAATTGTGATTTTGACGCTGCCGACATTCGCTTGGTATGTTTTTTTGTTATCAAAATACAATAAAATCTTTTTGTGATGAAGTAAAACCTGACTTTTGTTTACGCAGGATAGAGAATTTTGTATAGATTTTACAATGCCAAACTTCTTCATAGAAAAGTAGTCTCTAAATATAAGTTGTAATGGTTTTAATTGCTGTGCGGTCGATGGTTTAGGATTTGCCGGGCGCATGCGACTACATGGGATTTTTATTAGGATTAAGGGGTTAACCATCCAGCGATCCACTCAAACGCACACAAAAAAAATTCATCAGAATCGTTTGAGCCGTTTTCGAGTTTTAGCGAGACTAACTGATAGCAATTGATTTTTATACTTATATATAGAAATTAACAAATATCCCAATCATATATTTTTTAAAGTATGTACTGGTATATAACACTAAAAATATCCCACGGCGGGTGGCAGCAATTAGTTCGACGGTGGTGGTATCCACCCAGTCGAACTCTAAGGAAGAAGGAGTCTTACATCCTGATGCAGTTGTCAAAATATTGTATTTTACATAAACAATCAAGATATACTCGTGTACGTCAAAAGGAAAACAAAGGCCATCCGTAATTTTGTTTATATACGGGTGAAATACAAGGTTGCAGCGACATGTTGCGATGTGAAAAAACCGGAGGTTCATAGGAGTTAGAAATTTTCGAAAAATTGGTATCAACTTTGAGCCATAGACAAATTACCAGACATATCAAATATCAAGCTACGAAACACAACCTCGTCTCCATTATCTCGAATTAAATTAATTAGGGCAATTACTGTACATTATGTACAACTCACAACCAGCAATTTTTAAGTCTTAAAAAAATGTAAAATTAGTTCACCTTAAAATCTTAAATGACAATAAAAAATTATTTTCAATATTAGTTATATTTTTTAAAGATGGCAAACGAGCACAGTCCACCCGGTAAGTGGATGCTGTGACCTACAAACATTTATCCTCAATTAAGCATCAAAATGCAGGTGTATACCCCTGAAGACAAAAGTGGAATTCCTCTTCCCAGAAAATAGGTTTTCAGTTCTCTACTCTCAACATACATAATACTGCAGCATTATTCTGATCTTTCAAGTTGATATTCTGTGCTGTAACCATAATATAACTGCAGTTCTACCGTTTTTAAATTATTTATAGCTAGCTGTATCCTACACTACACTACTACTGTACTTCGACTGTGTGTAATTAAGGATTTTCTTTTTTTTTTGCATGGAACCCAAATATGTAGATGTCTATGGGCCACAGCAACCACTTACCATCAAATGGACTGTGTTATTTTGAATGCTATATTATTTTGAATGTTTCATAAGTTATTGAATTACATAGTGTGTCTGATTCAGATCAATAATGTTGTCATCGTCATCATCCTTGTTACAGTCTATTAAAGTCCACTGCTGAACTTAGGCCTCCCCCAGAGATTGCCTTATAAGAGGGATATAATTTGCTATAGTTGCCATTTGTGGCAAGTCGGTTGGCGACCATAGTTATTTAGTTTTTAGTTATAATTAGGTAGATGCTGCTGCCCATGTTCTGGTTTTTTCCCTCTGTCGCCTCTTACAAAACCCCAAGGACAGAAACAGAAACTTTTTTATTCATTATAGATTATAAATAATACTTATTGAAAGTCACTCCTATGTTTAATTTACCACTGGTTTGGAAAACACCTCTGTCCTAGGAAGAACCAGCAAGAAACCTGTGGAGCTTCTTTTTAGAAAAAAAAAAAAACCAAGTTACAATCATATAACAGGTAACACAATTAAGAAAACAAAACAAACTAGATGTGATTTGGTAGTAATCACCTCTTTCCCAAGGGTTATTATCAACCATAAATTCCTTATTTTATACAAACTTTGTACAATAAAGTCTAAAACTTTGAGGAGGTCAAATTATGTATAGGGATATGGGATAGCGGGTATTCTTACAATGCCACTACATGGTCACGGTCAGTTTAATTAAAAAACAGAAATAACAGCAATTACTGTTGCAAAACTGTTGATAAAGCTGTTTATTATCGACCTTTTATCAGTAATGCGCCTATTTATTGTGATTAAAAGCTTTACATAAATTATTCATTTTTCCTGGAATTAAAATATGTGTGGTGCGGAAACAAAGTGGTTGAGCATTTGGCTTAGGCGATACAATAATCAATATAGTATATGTTTTCACATCCAATGTCTTGCTTTAGTTTATTCATTTGTAGAAATCGTCCTTCACTAACACATACACAAAACACACCAATGTTATTCTAATCTTTAATGCCCGGATAAAGACTTTTTTGATTAATTTTAAAGAGGCCTGTACAAAGCAAAACAATTGAATAATAATTTAAATGATATGTGAAATCAACTTCAAATTATCATCAATTCTGGCTGGAATTTATATGGTGGGTCCATATCTATGAAATTATTTTATTGCTCCCTTGTAAATAATTTAAAACAATGGGTTGACTTTGTAGTATCCACTACCCTTTATTGTTTTGTAACTGTCCAAGTATGAGGTGACAGGGCGAAACAATCCAGGAGATGAGATGAATGATGAAGATTTCCTTGATACAGGCGTGCCTAGTGAGGAAACCAACAGATGTTTGTAATGTTTAATTATTTGTAATGATTTATTTCTGTAAATAATTCTTTCAGATAAAACATTTTCCACTTTTTCATTTTTAAGAGAAACAAATAATTAATATTTATTCATCTGTCTATTGGATCAAATCGAGTGATATTTTTTTATTTATAATATATAATGGTGATTATATATGATTCAATTATTGTGTGATTTATTAATTTTTATTCATCAGATTATTTTAAATTTAAAAAATAAATAAGATATTCAAATAAATATACTCTGATAATTACTTGTATGATTAGGTCTTATATTATTTGTGTCTAATAAAACATTACACCAATCTTGCAGTCAGTAAGAGTAAGTGGGTTGAGGTGCTTAGCCTCATACATTATTTTGATAAAATTACTAACTATCGTCTCCGCAGCTTCGGCTTATTGGTCACCTTCGGCAAGCAGCCTCAGCTGCTACGGCTCACTTAGGTGCCTGCGATTTGCTACAGCAGGCGGGGACCGCTCTCTCTCCGTGCCTATGGCTTTACAAAAACACTCCAGGGGTAGGGCAGACAAGACTATGTGGAGTCGGGGTGTGCTATCTCGGTTTTAGAACCAATTCGACCAATCTTATCTATAAAGTCTGGTTGCCCTAAACTCTACTATGATAGTGGCAAATGAAATAATGTAATGTGAATTGTTATAACTTTGTTTTCTGAAAAACCTCTTGACTGCTCTCCACTGCGACTCAATTTGTTTTATATAAGTCCTGTCTCCAGCCATAAATGGATTGTTTGGGTCTGAGTGTTAATCACTCAGACCTTTTTTATGAGTTTTAACATATTTTCGTTTAGTTATTGCAATTTTTTGTGAAATTTATTTTTATCGTAATGAATTCAAAAGGCATTTCTGAAATCCAAAAACAGTGTAAATGGTTCAAGCTTAACCCTGACAATCCTCCTAAATTGAAAACAAAATTAAAAATCAAGTACAGGACATATACTTCATAATACGAGAACAAATTGACATATTTGCATTTTGTTATTACATTTTTAGCGAAATTTGTTTTTATCATAATTAATTCAAAACCCATTTCCGACATCTAAAACAGTGTAATAAGTTCAAGCTTAACCCTAACAGGCCCGCTAGACTAGAAATATTATCAAAATCAGATATCATCCAACCAGCCCAACAGCCTTCATTTTTTTCATTTGTTAATTTTAATAAACTTTATGGTAAAGAAAGTTATGTTAATATTGTATTTCTGCATAGAAGAATATTATGAATTATTTAGGTATACAAATAGAAATTTTATTTTTGGCCAATTTGTATTAAGTATTTGTGACATGATTGTTGATGTCCGGAAATAAATCTATATGCAGTTATTGTAATTGGTTAGATTAAAAGAAGTGCTATACCAATCCCTTTATTATCAACCAATGTTAAGCGAGTGCAACAATATTACGCCTGATAATCCTGTTGATTCAAAAATAGAACACAATCTCGTAGCGCAACATTTTAATTAAAACTGTGTAGGTATATACATAATTACAGTATTGTCACCGAACTGGCGGTAATAAATGATAAAGTATGAATACAATACTCACGTCTTCAAATATAGATCCTACGTTGGCGGTCACAAGCAGCAACGGCACTTTATCCGAACCCATTTTTTTAAATTTCAACATGATCCTGAAAGCGTTTTGAGTCGAAAACAATTTCGTCAACCAGGTAGTCCCGACATTATATTAAAGAACTGAAGTGGATTTCACGCGCGAACGCTTTATCTGAACTACCTCCGATAACATTATAGTGGTTTCGATTGTTGTTTTATTCCCGCGGAAGGTTTTTTTAGAGCGAAAACGCGAGTCACCCGAAAAGCCCTCTTCGGCTCCTCGCCCTTTCAATTTTCTGATTCTGAGGTTTCTGACATTTGTATTTGTAAATGAATGAATTACGTTCAGTTTTTAAATCTGCCAGCAACCTTCGCCGTTAACCATACGTATCGTTAATGTTCACGCTTTATTTACTAAGATATATACAACTTCTATACGACCTATAAGAAATTTCGTAGTAGTTTTTATAAAAAAGTTTTTAAGGAATTATTTTAAATAACAATCATTTATGTAATTTGATAAAAAGATAAAGTTCTAAGCACGGGAAACGGAACGTATTTTTCGATATCAAAACACTTGATGGATATTGAGTTGACCAATGACGTCTATTCTCGTTTTACGTCACGCCCCGTTTTCAGGGACGTACTTGTACTTGCTTTGCTTGCTTCTTGCGTATTTTTAACGTAAATCGTAAATAGAGCCTAGAAGCCTAGTCAGGAAGCGGACATAATATCAATCAAGTAAATAACTATCTATATTTTTTACAGTTTTGATTTTATGGAATGTGAATTGCGTACTCTAATTTTAAGTATGTAACAAAATTGGTAGATACGTAATTTATTCTGCGCTATTGATGTTAAATTGACATTAACCATGTTATATGTCTCTCTGTAAGTCTTGCCTTTTTGCACATGTGCCACTCCACGATACGTATTCAACACCTAACTCAAACTAACCTTTTGTTTAGAGATAGGGATACTAGAAATCGATCGCGCTATTTTCTTTTGAGCGATTCAGATTCGACATTTTCACGCGTTTGTATATAGCACGCACGTGAGTTTGTAGAATTGAAACACTACTGATTAAACATTTAGGTAAGTCTCATTTACATCGACTAACTAACAAGCTGTCTACGATAAATAGGTATCGTATAATCTATGTATAGTTAGTTGTGTATTAATTAAGACCGTTATTTATTACCCACCCACGTCATTTTAGTAGTTGTTGACAGATGGTTCACATGCATTCCAATTACTATATTAGCCTACCTACTTTTTTTTTTTCAGGTAAAATCTACCAATGTTTACGTTTTTTATTGTAACTCTTTTGGCCGCTGTCGTGTCTTCAGAGAACATATATTATAATGCTGTGGAAACAGAGATGTTTGCGGTGCCTATTAGTCCCAATTTATTTAACTGGACTTATCAAGGTAATATGTTTAAAATATCTTTTAATTTTATGAAAGTGCATTATTAAATTATTATATGGATTGGTATGAGTCAATACAAAATCTTAAATGATCATTTGGTATTCGGGAAACTTTGTAATAGATGAATATCCCTATACTTAATTTGACCAAATCAAAAACGCCTTCTGGAGGTAACTCGAATGCTGTATTATTGTCGTCATCCAAGGTAATAAGAGATGGATATATTGTTAGGAATATGAAACGAAAATACAATGTCTACAGTGAGGGTTTCCTTTTGAGGATTGGCCAGCAAAAGTAAGAAAAGGAGGAATCAAAGATAAAGAGGGATATATTTATTTATTTTAGTATGGAAAATAATGAGATAGGTGCCAAGAAATAAAATGAATAATAGAGTAAAACAGAAAAACAAACTACTGACAAATTTAAAAATAGACTAATATTATATAGTAAATTAACTTAAATACAATAAACTTGTAAACCATAAAATTTACTACAAACATAATAGATATATAATACAGACACACACACGCACGCATGAACGCACGCACGCACGCACGCACGCACGCACGCACGCTCAAAAGCGTGTGTGTCGTCCCCAGTCCGAGATTTTGTACAACACGGCCGGTGTATAAAGCATCACCAGTGCTGTCGTCTGCATAGCAATGAATGTTACCGGTTAGCAACATGTCATTGATATGCAGAAGAAACAGCGTTGGTGATAACACGCAGCCTTGTGGAACACCAGCTATAATGGGCTTGTAATCGGAGCATGCACCGTCTACTACGACCTTGATGCTTCGATCAGCAAGAAAACTGGTGTTCTAACTGCACAATTTCTTGGGAAGTCCACAGGAAGGAAGCTTCGTAAGAAGCGCTTTGTACTAAACCCGATCGAAGGCCTTCGCTATGTCCAAACTAACGGCCAACGCCCCCCCTTGGACTCTACTGCCTCCGCCCACGGCTTTTATGAGTTACGTAACACAGAAGATCACCAGCCGAGCGATCGCGATGGAATCCGTATTGGCAATCACTAATCAGCTGATGATCCTCAAGGTACCGCATGAGCTGGCTGTTAATAATGGATTTCCTTATTTTAGAGAACAAGGAGGTGACGGCGATAGGCATATAGTTGGACGGATGAGAGCGGTTACCTTTTTTAGGGATCGGGTGCACGAAGGCTGTCTTCCATGATTTCGGGACTACGCCTAGGGGATAGGAGTACCGGAAAAGACGCGTTAAAACCGGTGCCAATCCTGGAGCACACGTCTTCAGCACAATAGGATGTGTGCCATCAGGCCCACTCGACTTGTTGATGACCAGGGAGAGGAGTGCTCTGCGCACGTGTAAACAAGACTTTATGCATGGAGCACTCACACTGCGGGATGGTCGGCGGTGTGTTCCCCCCATCATCAAGAGTCGAATTGGACGCAAAGAGAGAGCCCAGTAGATTGGCTTTGTCTTTTGTGGCATGGGCCAGTGAGTCGTCCTACCTGTGCAGAGATGGAAGAGATGGCTGGCAGAAATTCCTTTGGACAGCCTTGGCGAGAGACCAGAATGCGGGTGTTTCCGAAGGAAGACGAACTAGTTTCTCGCCAATTCTGCCGATGTGCTCTGACTTTGCCTTGACAATGACACTTTTGAATGACCTGGAAGCAGAATTATACTTTTTTTAAGAGCGCTGGTATTTGCATCCCGAGACGTCGATGCGCGAGCCCAGGCCTGGTAGCAGTCTTGCTTATGACGTAATGCAACTTTGCAGGAACGAGCAAACCAAGGCTAGGTTTTGCCTCCGATAGGTACCACAGATGATGGAATAAAAAGTTACATTCCATGTAGCATCACATCAACGATAGAATCAGCAACGACGCTGGGATCATCCGGCGAGAAGTAAACCCGTCTCCAAGGGTAGGATGAAAAAAAGATCGCATCCCGTCCCAAACAGCTGACCTATAATGCCAAACACGGCAGCAATGGGAGCGTGAGTGGCACCATACTGTGGATCAGACTATGTTCCGAGGAGCAAAGAGGTGCATCAACGGAGACCTGATATCCGTCCGGATGAGAATTCAGCAGAAAGTCCAGCAGGGAAGGTACATGATCTTCCACATCTGAGATCCGCGTAACCAGTTGTGTCAGACCATATGCCTGTGGCCGTGGTAGGAAAAGGGGAGATCTCCCGCCGGGCAAGGTGTTCTGCCCGGGGAGCGGCCAACACTCCAAGTGATAGTTCGGAGAAGTTCTATATATACTGTCCATGATTCGAAATTTTAATACCGCGATTTAGGCTTCGGTGTGTTTCGGTGTGCTAGTGGCGCGACGACAGCGCCGCTACATCACCCCCCTGCTCAGACCGGAGGTCGATAGTGAAGTCTCGTTGTCAACGAATGTGCAAGTGCCACGAGATTGCCTTGTAGTCTGCGTTGAGTCGAGAAGAAGGCAAGTAATCTGCGGGAGTGCCGTGAAGCAGAGGCGAGCAGTAAGGCTCAGAGCCGTGCCGAACACTGTATAGCGCAGAGAGTAGCTTGAAGGAACAGGAAGCATTATTATTCCAGTGCTGCGATGAACCTTGTGAAGCTAGATGGCTTGCAGGATATGAAGACTGCAGACGATATCTGCTCGGGAGCGAATGGGTGGGGTATTCTGTGACGATGATGAAGCTTGAAGTTTCCGAAGGTTGTTTGGTTGCGTGTTCATATCACGTCGGGGTCACCACTGTGGCCGTGGTAGGAAAAGGGGAGATCTCCCGCCGGGCAAGGTGTTCTGCCCGGGGAGCGGCCAACACTCCAAGTGATAGTTCGGAGAAGTTCTATATATACTGTCCATGATTCGAAATTTTAATACCGCGATTTAGGCTTCGGTGTGTTTCGGTGTGCTAGTGGCGCGAAGACAGCGCCGCTACATGCCAAAAGCAAATTCATAAACAGATCTACCCGCATGATCGGTTAAACGAAAATCAAACCATTCAGCGTGTGCATAAAATCACCAAGTATCACGATTTATGCGAGTGGGACCTGTTGTAGCACGGGTTCGTGCGACCGGGAGTCCGTGCTGAATGTCGACTGATGAGTCGGTCTGTGTCGGCATTACCGCTATGGGACCTATAGATGCACCCGTAGACGCAGGGACGGTCGTCGCTGTCTACGCGCAGCCATAAGATGGACATGTACGTACCCACGTACTTTCAAGGCTGCCGAGGCGTCGAAAACAGATGTCCTTTCTGACGTACACGCAAACTCCAGCCCGGGGCACAAAAGAGTGTTCTAATTTATACCCCGGGTAGGAGAGATATGAAGTATCAGCCGGAGAAGACACCTGTGTCTCGGTAAGAAAGAGCAAGGCCGGCTTTCCAGAGCAACGTTTCCAGAAGATAGTGGACGGCGTTAAGGTATTTAATGTTTGAAGTTTTGTTTGCCCCGAGCAAGCTAAGTTTCAAGCGGAATTTAGCCCCCCCCCCCAGAATACGCGGGGCAGCCTGAGCACTCACACTCAGGAAGTGTAGGGGAGTTTGGGCGTTGATGTTTAGCGAGAGATTCTCCGTCACCGGGGGTGCTGGTACCCTTATAGGGTAGTGTTATATTTAACTCACCGCTACCGTGTTAAGGGGGGGGGGGATTGGGCCTCTACACTTACCTGACGAAATACAGAAGCAAAGCTTCTACTTCACGCTGGTTTTCTGTGAGGTCGTGGTACCACCCCGGTCTTAGCTGCCGCGTCACTCTACCACTGTTCTTACTTTTTTACATAATCAAAAATAGGGAAAGGGGATTCGCCGATGTGATTCAACTTGATCCCTTAGACTTAGATAGATATTTTGGAAAGTTATTTCTAAGTTGAAAGATATTATTAGATTCAAACAACGCTATAATATATAAAATAAAAAAAATTGCCGTAAGTAAGCAATATGACCCCACGCACGTTCTCGTTAGGGAATAGTTTTATAAATATTTTTTTCACATGACACAGACCTCTATATCTATCCATATTTTTGTGTAGTGATTTTGGAGATAGATTTGCCTCTGTCTGTCAACTTGCATACCCTTACTGACTTTTATGGTAAGGATAGGTACACAATGACTGTACGCCAGAAATTGACTACATACCGACGAAGTGTGTCCACTGTCGTGACACCGATTTGTAGACGTAGTTTCGCTGTCGCTACCGTGAAATTACTTATTTTACCGACTTCAAAAAGGAAGAGGTATTTAACTCGACTGTATGTTTTTTTATGTGTGTTACCTTAGAAATTTTCTCAGGGTGAACCGATTTTCATGATTTAATAAATTCGAATAGAATGATTGTATGCACAACCACCATACGACATATAATTGTTGAGACTTCATGTAAGATATGTATTTTGAATATGTGCAAATTTTGTACTGATCTTACGATCTTTGATTTTTTTTGATTGAAGCCTCTGATTAACTTTTTTTTAAATAGAATAAAGGCGATAAACGAGTACACAGCCCACCTGATGGTAAGTGAATGCTGTGACCCACAGATTTTTATCCTTCATTAAGAATCAAAACGTGGTCAATTGTTACCCCTGAGGACTGAGATGGAATGCCTCATTTCCAGTAAAAAGGTTCTCTGTTTCTCTACACTCACCATACGAAACACAGCAGTATTAAGCTGCTATTTTACGCTGGTATTCTGTGAGAGCATGGTCCTGCCCCGGTCGAGCCGACCCATTCGTGCTATAATATAGCTGCAGTGTGGCTCTACCACGTACAATGAACTATTAGATAGCGGTATAATTAACTCGCATTTATATATTAATATTATAGTCTCCACGATACAGAAGAAACTTCTTATACCTATAGGACATAACACGGATATTATTTGTTCACAACAGAAACAGCATGGGGTTCCAACGAAATTAGTTATTATATTTCATTTTAATACTTCAGATGTTCTATGGGTTTATATTATAAAGAGCATTTATTCTGTAAAACTTTATCTGCGCATCTATCACTTACGGCATTCAGGCATTCCAATTGCTTTGTAGAAGCCTCCTCTCATGGTCGAAGCCATCGATTTTGCGACAGTTTATTTTCGAACGCTAATAACTAATTACTGGATAAAATCGCTTACACAATAATCATTCCTCTTATGGTGCTAACAGTTATATTGTTTATTTAGTATCGTAGAACTTTAATTTTTGGATAGATACACAGTGAATACATAATCATGCAATATCTAACAATCATTAATAAATTAGGTATACTTATTAGTTTTTATTTACGAAATGTACGATACAAATAAATTGAGCACTTTGAAAGAGAGAAGAGGATTTCGACTTGTTTGGTTTGCAAAATTTCAATTAAATATAATTATTTTATTGAAGTAAAACTTCTTTACGCACGCTTGACTTGAGGGAGTAAGCTGGCGAACGCGTGACGGAATCGTTACGAAAAGTGTGACCGGGGAAGCGAACGGCGATATAAGCAAGAGAGAGCAGTGCGCGCGCACAATTTTTTTCTCTCTTTCTCTCATAGCCAGTTATTTTTCGTAATTTTATTTCGTTTTGAACAATTTTATGAATTAATATTTTGTTCAATACATTAAATATTCTACGTTTAAAGTGAATAAAATTGTATATTCATTTTAAAGTTCATGTTTTGTGAATTTTCGGGTGAATAGTAACAAATTATGGAAGGAAGCCGATAATAAATTTAAATATTTGTAGAAAATTAATATATGTGTATACATTATACATGAGTTAAAGAAGTTTTACTTCAGTGGTGTGGTCATAACCACACTCGTTTTTTTTTTAGAATTTGACGAGCAGTACCGCTTCCATGCGTCGCTAAAGGGCAAGCCTGAATTACCATCATGGCTTCGATACGTTTACAGTGGACGACATCATTCTGGGTTTATTTTTGGCACGCCACCTCGGGGAACCGAGTCACCGATCAATGTAAATATAATTTTTATAAAATTACGGCCTTTGTCATGGTTAGGAATATTCATGTTAGAGATGCATAGAACAGTCTATTAATATTTACGTATACTTATTAGCTTTTTAAATATTTATATTACTTACGTGTGAAAATAGAACATGACATGAGTGATGGAACACTTTAACACTTAGCTTTATGTATGATGGCCGTTTTTAAATACCTAATTAAATTTCATTATAAAATAACATTACCTTATTATTTCTTTTTTTTTAAATAAAATAGTTGTAAAGCAAACGTACGTAAGTACTTTTTGAAGAAGGGATTAATGATTATACCCTCGTATATCTTCTTGGCCATGGCGACAATTTTAATATATTTTCGAAAGTTATCAATTGCGCAGGAGATATAGTGCCACAAGTATGCACGAAAACACAAAAGCATTCACTTGTTATAATTTAGCCTAGCTAACTGTGCAACTTGTGCTCAATGTTACGCTTGTAATAAGATCTAAGATAGGCTAAAAGGCAGTGTCCGGGACGTACGGATAATCTCAATAAAACCAGCCTCGAAAACTATCAAATTTTGATTTTACTTATATATCGATTCCAGCTAATTAAATTAACTTAACCGAAGTATTATTTATAGTTGATAAATAGTTTTTCGCCACAATAGACATCGACACTTATACATCACTATTTCGTAATTAAGATCAAAGAGTGCGATAAAGTACCTACACAATAAGTATATTTTATTGTAGACTCTTTTGTGTCTAAAGCCCACTTACTAGCTTCTTACCTATTTAAGCTACCAAACAACAGTGCATCCACCGTTTTATACTTATATGAAGGGAATGGATGGACCTTCAAGGCCGACGACACACCTGTTGTTTTTAGTGAAAACTTGAATGATGGGGAAAAGGCACTGAACTCGCGTGACCGTTATACATATATATATAATAACAATATATTATCTACACACATAAATAAACTTGAAGTGTCTCTTTGTAATGTAAAAATAAAAGATTTTTACTAAATGCATATTAAAGTACTTACGAGTATATAAGTACGGTACTTATAACAAAAAACCAATTTTTCAAATTTTTGTCTGCCTGTCTGTTTGTTCCGGCTAATATCCGAAATGGCTGGACCGATTTCGACGAGACTTTCACTGTCAGATAGCTGGTGTTGTAAGGAGTATCTTAGGCTACTTTTATTTTAGAAAAACAAAGTTCATCATAAAAAAATCAAAACCAATGAAATTCACCCTCAATAAAATTCACGCGGATAAAGTATGTATATATAGGTAACTAGCTGCTCCCTGCGACTTTATCCGCGTGAAATTTATTGATATATATAATGTCCTATATGTATGTATGTATATAATGTCCTCCGACCGAATTTCGGCCACGGCAGCCTGCCTCAACGAAGGCTAGCCATCGGCGCAGGACAGGATTATAGTGCCCAAGTGTATGCGTAAGCACGGGTGCATTCTCTATTCCCTCACTCTCAATATATATATGTGAAGCTAAGAAGTGAATAACTAAGAACTGGAATTCTAATTTGTTTAACCACTTTATTATTATACAAAAATGTAGGTATTTCAATTGCATCTGCAACTAATGTTAATACTATTATTACTTTTTAATATTTCTATGATTATTACTATGCAGCATTAAAGGGACATCGGACTATTATAGAATATTATCCCATATTTTTTATTTTAAAATTTACGTTCCGTTGCAGCTGGAGGTAATCGGTCTCAACCGTCAAGATTACGAGACTCGGCATGTTGTCGTCACTCTAGAAATCCAACCAAAGGAGAATATGGCGCGACATGAAGTGGAATTAAAAATAGATAATCTCAATGTGGAGGACCTCCTGGACGAACACAGGTTATTTTAATAATTCTAGCGTGTTTTCACACATAGTTTTTAAATTTAGTTCTTGCTACAGAGTATGTATCTACATTATAATATTATGCAACTGATGTTTTTACTACTACTAGAGCTAATTCTCGAAATTTTTAATATTGATTTGTGGCTAAGCGTTTGCTTTTGGCGCTGCAGCCCGCGGGTTCGAATCCCGCACGAAACAAGTGTTTTCTTAACCTGCAAATAATTGTTTCTGGTGAAGGTGATGTCACAGAATATTAATAGGTGATGTGTCCTAGCGAAATTTGTTTATAAACCGCCCCAGAGATACAGGAGAAAATAGGGAGAAATTCACACGTAAACTTTTTTTTTCATATACTAATTTAAAAAATGCCAATGATTTTAATTTTACAAGTATACGCAGCAATGGACTGTATACTGTAATATCTACATGAACTTAACTACGACGTATGAATAGCAAAGTTAGCTAACTACAATATACAAAGAGGCAAATTTTGGATGTCTTAGGAATATTGATTTTAATATTTTCTTACAAATTATAAGTAATTTGAATTTAGAAATCGAAATACCTACCTAGTTCACCTGAATATATTTTTAGATTTAGACATTTATTTTTTAATTTTATTGATTTTCCGTATGTATGTATGTACTTATGTATTACGTATGTTTGTAATTTACGTCTTGGTTATAAATTAGGAATATAACCTCTTGTGTATATATTTACAATTTTGAAAATGTAAGTTTAGTATTCGAATATATTGGTTGTTCTTTCTTCTTATTTTTCCTAAACAAGTAGTAACATTAAAAATTTTGTGCAACCGACTTCAATAAAAATAAGACGAGAACATCATCAGTGTATTCGAAGTCTATTAAATACGCATTATTAAGGACAACTTAAAATCTATTTGTCTGATTTTGATCAAATTTATATGGGACCACATGAGAAGCACTAGCTTTCAAATAATAGAAAGAATCATCAGAATCGATTCACCTAGAAAAAAGTTCTGAGGTTACACACATAAAAAATAAATACACTTGAGTTGAAAACCCCCTGCTTTTACTGAAGTCGGTTGAAAGACAAAGATAAAGATACATATATTGCATAACTGTGTACAATATGATCTTAGTATATAGTTACATATAGTTTTAGGCTCAACAGTTTACCCATGTCGGATATGCAACAAGAAAGAAAATAAATTTAAAATTTACTACTTATTAACATTAATTTTATAAAAATTCTCATTGAGATTGTAAAAAACATTTTCAATTAAAATTTCTTTAATTTTGTTTTGAACATATTTCCATTTAATTGTTTAATAGCTGGTGGTAACTGATTGTATACACGAATAGCAGTAATATATAATTTTATAGTAAATCATATCGAAAAAATTATCGATCACTAACGATCACTCACAGACGCACTATGCGAGTATAAAACTAGCAAACACATAAAGATAAATCTTCTGGTTTTTTTTATAGAAGAGGGGTCAAACGAGCATGCGGCTCACCTGATGGTAAGTGACTACCGCCGCCCATGATCAACCGCAACACCAGGGGAATTGCAGGTGCGTTGCCGGCCTTTTAAAAAGGAGTAAGCTCTTTTCTTGAAGGTACCTAAGTCGGTCGTCAATGATTCGAACCGCTTTGCGCTGGATGTGGTCAAGTGGAAGGAGCTGGCACTGGGTTGCCCCGGCCCAGAGATGAGAACTTTCCATGTGACGCCGAACTTGCGATTTGTAAAGTTGCAAGCGATGTGCCGGCATGTAATACCATCTCGCTCTGCTGAGCACGCCAAGCTTTTCAGAGGCCAATTTGGCTTTCCCCTCCAGGTGACCACGAAACTGCAGATTATTCGATATGTCAACGCCGAGGATTCCGACGCTAGCTGAGGCAGCAAGAGGAGTGCCTTGAAACTGATGAGATACGACAAAGGATTTTTTAAACGCGGAAAATTGTCTCTTCTGTTGATTGAACTGAACTAGATTTAGTCGCCCCCTATCCAAAACTTTGTTCAGCTAAGACTCGACTTGACTTCAGACTCAAGTTTCTCCCAGTACTCGGCGACGTTTTTCCGAGAAATATTGGCACGGCCGGTATATAGGACATCTCCAGTGCTGTCGTTTGCATAGCAATGAATGTTACCAGTCTGCAACATATTGATATACAGAAGAAACAGCGTTGGTGATAGCACGCAGCCTTGTGGAACACCAGCGTTAATAGACTTGTAATCAGAGCATGCACTGTCTACTACGACCTCGATCAGCAAGTACGCTGGTGATCCAATTGCACAATTTCTCGGGAAGCCCATAGGAAGGAGCTTCGAAAAAAGCACTTTACCAGTACCAGAACCGGTCGAAGGCCTTCACTATGTCCAAACTAACGGCCAATGTCTCCCCCTTGGATTCTACTGCCTCCGCCCATCTATGAGTCAGATAGACCAGAAGATCACCAGCTGATCGACCACGACGAAAACCGTATTGGCGGTCACTAATCAGCTGGTGATCCTTAAGGTACCTCATGAGCTGGCAGATTATAATGGACTCCATTAATTTGGAGAACAAGGAGGTGTGGTGGTGATGGCGATAAGCCTGTAGTTGGACGGGTCTGAGCGGTCGCCTTTTTTAGGGATCGGATGGACCAAAGCTGTCTCCCATGAATTCGGGACTACGCCTTGAGAGTAGGAGTACTGAAAAAGACGTGCTAAAACCGGTGCCAACTCCGGAGCGTACGTCTTCAGCACAATGGGAGGGACTCCATCAGCCCACTCGACTCGCTGACGTCCGAGGAGGGGAGTGCTTTGCGAACCGAGCGCCCTGTAAACCGTACATCCAGCATAGAGCACTCACCTCGGAATGGTCAGCGGTGTGTTCCCCCCGTTATCGAGAGTCGAGTTGGACGCAAAGAGAGAGCCTAACAGATCGGCTTTCTCCTTTGCGGCATGGGCCAGTGAGTCGTCCTCTCTGTGCAGAGATGGAAGAGGTGACTGACAGAAATTCGATTGGAAAGTCTTGATGACAAACCAGATTGCACGGGTTCCCGAAGGAAGGCGAACTAGCTTTACGCCAATTCTGCCGATGTGCTCAGACCTTGCCTTGATGCCTTGGCAATGACTATTGAAGGACCTGGAGACGGGAATTATACTTATTTTTAAGAGTGCTGGTGTTTACATCCCGAGACATTAATGCGTCAGCCCAGGCCTGGCAGCACTCCTGCTTATAGCGTGATGCTATTTTACAGGAGTGACCAAACCATGGCTTGGATCTGCCTCCGATGGCCACTACAGAGGACGGAATAAAAAGTTCCATATACTGAAGTACCACGTCAACAACAGAGTCAGCAACAACGCTGTGACCGTTCGGTGAGAAGCAAACCCGCTCCCAAGGGTAGGATGCAAAAAAAGACCGCATCCTATCCCGATCGGCCGACCTATTGTGCTAAACACGGCGGCAGCCTGCAAAATGCAACCGCGACGTTAATGTGACTGAAACCACACTCCGGACAAGACAATGATCCGACGAGGCTAGAGGGGCGTCGACGGAAACCTGATACTGATATCCGTCCGGATGAGAGGCCAACATAAGGTCAAACAGGGAAGGTGTATGATCCTCTACATCTTGTTAATCTCAATTGAGGATAAATGTAGATGTCTTTGGGCCAATTCACTTATCATCAGGTGGACTGTGTGCTCATTTTTCACATTTATTCTATATAAAAAAAAACATACGAAACACAGCAGTATTAAGCTGTAATAAGCGCTAGTATTCTGTGAGAGCGCGGTCCTTCCCCTATCGAGCCGACTCATTCGTGCTACAACCATAATATAGCTGCAGCGTGGCTCTACCACGTATAAATGGTGAGTGTGGAGAAGTCTATGTGAAGCCTATGGGCCACTTCATCCACTTACCATCAGGTGGACTGTGTGCAAGTTTATCACCCTTATTCTATTTAAAAAAAAAACGTAAATTAAAGCTATTGACGTATTTGCCATATCTTGACATTTATTAATTGCCTCGTAGATTATAGTATACAATATTAATAGGGCAATTAAATGTTCTTTAAAAGTCGGGAAATGTTTTAACTTGAAAAACAAGTAAATGCTGACGTAGATAAACCAAATGATCTGTTTTCATTGCTTACCTAAATATAAAAAATAGCGATGAATGGTGCAAGGTTAAGCTTGTTTAAAACAAATGGTAAAATTAAAAATGTTGTACAACCGAACTTCAAGAAACTTAAATACACCGACTTAAAATGAGAACGACATCAATGTAGTCGAGGCCAATTAAATACGAATTATTAAGGATAACTCAAAAACTACTGGTCAGATCTTGATTAAATTATATGGAACCACACGAGAAGCACCAGCTTTCAAACAAAAAAAAAAAAAGAATTATCAAAATCGGTTTATCTGGAAAAAAGTTCCGAGGTAACACAAAAAAAAAATACAGTTGAATTGAGACCCTCCTACTTTTTTGAAAACGGTCGAAAAATGTTCATATTGTAAATTAGGGTTGCCGACCTAACTATATAATAGGGTATAGTATCATAAAGTCCGGTTCCTGCGGGTCACGTGTTCAAATCCCGCACTGAACTAGTATTTGTATGACCTACAAATTGTTTCCTGTCTAGATGTTTGTCCTTGAACAATGTTGTATGTAAACTGACTCTACGATACAGGGGGAAATCTCAGTGTATATAGTTTTTTAAAATAATATACGTTATGAGACATATAAATTTTTTTTCACCATCTACTACATTATAACAGGTAACAGCTTCGTAAATATTATATTTGACAGAAAAAAATTAGCAACTCTAGTTGTAACGTGTTTCTCGAGTTTTGTTGTTCAGTCTCTACTAATTCCTAAAATTTAAATCCTTCTCCCGGTTGAATTTCGGTAACGGCGGCCAGTCACAACAAAGTCTAGACCCAGGACATGGTTATAGTGCACGATTGTATGCGCTATATGCTCGCGCATACACTCGTATTATCTAGTACAGGGATTCTCAAAGTGGTCGAAAGCGACCCTTTGGAGTCGAAAAGGGTTTCCCAGGGGTCTACATAAACGAAAATTGATTTTACGGTCAATGAGGTCTAAAATCGACTCCAATTAATTAACACAAGTTCTTATTTGAAATTTTCAAGATACCGTATAAGTTGTGTTAAGTGTATTTTTTTAACTAAAACGCTCAATAAAGTCGATAAGAGTGCAAAAGTATTTTGTATCTATAGGGAAAAAAGTAGAGATTAGATTTTTAAAGTAATAAAACTATTGGGGTCTGAGGTATCAGTTTATTTTGGATAAGGGGTCTCTTGCACAAAATAGTTTGGGAATCCCTGGTCTAGTAGTTTTAAGCGCGCCTGCTGATTATAGGGTTGCGGGTCAGGCCAGAATCAGTTACTTTTTGTTTCGGTCTGAAAGACATTATGAAGCCGGCAATACATGTTCGCTAAGCCTCAGCCATCGCGAGCGTAGACAAATTGATAAAAGGCAAGTGCAGCCTCATGTTAGTCAAATTTGAATAAATGAACATATTGACATGACTTAATAACATGTGGACACGAATTGCCGACTGCAGGCGGCGCCTTTGATTGGTGCAGAAAAACCGACACTATTCCAAAGTGAGACTAATCGTGGCGATCGATCGCAAGTGGTGGCAAGGCATCCCAAACGAACCGTGTACACGTTGGCGCTCGCCTGCACTCGGTTAGCTAGGCGAGCGATGACGAGCAACGGCGAGACTAGACAAATGGTCTGTCCATATGTACCTATTCGGCTTCGCTCGGTGAGCTATGGCCAACATGTATAGCCTTCTTAATGTATCTCACTGAATATATTGTTTTATTTTAACTATTATAAGCCAGTGCTTACCTTCGGTCACACCTGATGGTAAGTGCAGCCGAAATATTGTTACGAGCTTAGGGTTCGCGACAATAAAAACTGCCGATTGAATTACCAAAATTAACACTTTAATTACTGAACACCAATTAAAACTTAAATCACCCTAATAATTATTCACACTTACACTTTAGTTCACTTTATTTCACTCCGAAGTTCAATTCAATACTCCCTCGGTGGCGGGCTTCAACGCCTTTATATACGCCTTTTTCACCGATACATCCAGAATATTCCCGCAAATACTGGCTCCCAATCGACCAGGTGCATAAAGTTCGAGGTGGAGCTTTCCAGAAAACTTAGTTCTTCTATTCGATACTCGATGGCGCTGTTGGTTGAAGGTTCAATCATGGCATTTTCTGAAAAGCTCTCCTCGCTTTGTTCCTCGGCACTAGATGGCGCTAGTGCCAGGTATCAGACATCAACTTAGGCGCGCAACAATATGAAAAAAATAGGACCTTACATCGTTACATGTCATTTTTCAGGGAGATTATTAATTATTCGAAGACTACTTAATACTTAGTACTAGTAGTACTAGGTGGTAGGACTTGTTTTCTGCCTAGAAGTTCGTCTGGACAGGTTCCATCCTCTTAACTATTTCTGGCGCTCGTGCTAAGCACTTCTGTTTTGTGGCCTGAAGCGTAAAGCCATTCCATCTTAGTGATCAAAGGTTGCATGTATCCATAGATTGCAGTAGTAGTAAGATCATTAAAGAAAACTACATACTATACCAGGGTCGTTTGGCAATAATCAATTTGCAGAGAAGGTTCATAATAAGTAATATAGGCAAGTGCTGTTTAATTAAACAAGATCTTAAAATATCTTAAAAATAATTCCATGACCTTATTCGTAAGAATATTGTGGTGTCATCGAGAAATGTAAATAATTAGAGCCTACTTTGCAATTTTTTTCTATCGAGAAAATTACATGGTATCGTGTTTTCCTTTTATGCAATCCAAGGTCATATAGTCAAAAATCATATACCGTATATTCTATTTTAAATGTATTGTTATAAACAGATAAGAATAACTTAACAGATCTTCTTTGAAAACAGATAAGAATAACAGTTCTTATCTGTTTTCAAAGAAGATCGGTTAAGATTAACAGTAAAATTGTGCCGTAGCGTTTTGTTACTCTCTAAAGAATTCATTGGAAATCAACTAGTAATTCTCTTGTTTAATTATCATTACATAATAATTATTTAAAAATTATACTAGTACTGTAATGATGACACCATAAATAATCGATCGAAAAAGAGAATCGATTTTTTAAATGTGTTTTGTGATTGGCAACACTTTTTTTTTATTCACAAACTAATGACATAATGATCTACCTAATTTTTATCATTATCTTTCCGGTACTTTTAATTTGTGTAAAAATATTCCGATTGTTTGAGGATAAATGAATACCGCGATTAATAACCATAAATAAAGATATAATTTTTTAACAAATGCACATTGTTGGGCGTTCCATGGCCGAAAATGGGCGTCCCCCTTTTGGTTTGTAATCTATAAAACTTAAAAAAATACGTTAAATAGAAAAACCACCAAATTTTCGAGGTATCACCTTAATCATTCTGTCCTTTTTATGTTAAAAATGCGTAGTAATGCATTATTTTAACTGATTATACTGCACACGCACACATTCGTAAGGGTCGATCGGTAGGCAAAAATGTTGTTGCGTTATGTATGTATTATAGTATTCTATGTTGTTGTCCATAAATCACATACAATTTGGGATAAATTCAAATGAAAGTAGAAGCCTCATTTACTCGTATTTTCAAAAACTGCAATAACGGTATTTCATTGTTTATATATTTGAACTTAAGTTTTAATTTGGCTGCTCATAATAGTAACCCTGTATACATTAGCAGTTAAAAATATAAACCTCCTTTTGAGCACCGTCGCAGTCACGTCGTTTTCATTTTCCAGGATGACCCGTCTTAAAGATATCTTAAGGATGAAGCTATGGACGGAGAGTAAGCACGATTTATATGCAACGTTCCTGTCTTCAGCCATTGATTTGGGCGCTAGACTGCCACTTAAGCCAAGCGATGGGGAAGGGTAAGTTATTTTTCCAATAAAGAAATATTAGTTACTTTAAAAGCAGAGAGTAATTCGCCATTTTTATTTATTTATCTAGAATTTATCTACAGAGTGCCAATAAATTTCAGGGGTAACAGGTGCTCCCTGAACGAAGACGTTTTAGTCGCATAAGAACAATATACAACTCATTTAATAGTGAAAAATAGTAAATACTTAAAAATTAACAACTATAAAAAAACTGCGGTCCAAAACAAGAAAAAAATAGTTTTTAATTTTTATTTGTTTTGGACCGCAATTAATTATTTAATTTTAAGTTGAATAATGCAGTGTTGTTACATTCTTTCATCTTTTAAAGGTAAGCTCACACCGAAACGTGACGCGACGCGACGCGGCGCGCACTTAATAAGATAGTGATACAAAATATAACTTTATTTACTACACAAAAAGATACACATTTTAATGAGATAATTCGAACATGCCCCGCGGCGTCGCGCTGATGCGTCGCGGCGTGGCGCAGTGCACCACGACGCGACGTAGCGGTGCGCTGCGTCTGAATCGTCTTAGTTGTAGAAGTGACATAAAATATAAGTAGTATTTCGGACAGTTGATTCAATTATAGTATTTTGATTCTTCCAGGCTGGTAGTCCGTCTAGGCAGTGCTGTACCGTTCTCGTCGGAGCTGAAGAGACTGCGCGAAGAGGTGCGACCACTCTCCCGATTGCCCAGCTGTCCCAGGGAATACAAGCGCACGACAGTGGAAAGACTGTTCCGAGACGCTGGGTTTACATTGGACTGGTGTAGTTTTGAACTGGTAACTACTCAGTTTATTGTATGACACTTATTGGATAGAATATGTACTTCATCGCTTCATATTGTGTAATTCGAAACTACTCATATGTGATGCCGTGTGGTTGCTGCGTAAGAATAGAATAGAATAGAATATAATAGAATAGAATAGAGTAGAATAGAATAGAATAGAATAGGATAATTTTAAAATTTTGTCTTTGCTAGTCTTCGAGACGGCGGAGCTGATTGTGATAAAACTTTACGAAGAGAACAGAGATGCCATGAGCGATCTATAGTGTATTTTATGTAAAAGTAAAGTAACGTAAAGTTACAGCCTATATACGTCCCACTGCTGGGCACAGGCCTCCCCTCATTTCTGAGAGGGTTTTAGGGCAAGGAAGTGTCAGCTGCGCTGCCCCAATGCGTGTTGGCGAACTTCACATGTCTTTGAAATATTTTTTTTCTTATTCCTCAGACATGCAGGTCTCCTCACGATGTTTTCCTTCACCGCTGAGCACCTGGTAAATCAGCACTTAAAATTGCAATTAACAATTTTATTTGGCGCCGGCGGGGATCGAACCCGTTTTACTCGCGTTCTGTTATATTTACAGCGAGCGTTAACCCTCTGAGCGGCTCTGTGGGTTAACGCGGCTGTATTTTATGTGAATAACTTAAAAGATTTTTTTCAAAAACTAAATATTTTTTCTTTGATTATCTTAAACCTATTTTTTATCTTCCCGCTATGATAATCAATGATTTTCAAAAAATCGGGAAGTTATTGGTTTCACTCCAGTTTTCGAAAATCGAGTTTTCATCAGATCTCGCAGTTTTGAGGTCCTAGGAAGCCGTTCAGACTATTTCTACGAGAATGTTACTATGTATGTAGGTGTAGGTGCGGGTGCGTGCGGGTGCGTACGGTTGCGTGTGGGTGCAGGAGCAAGTGCTTGCGTGCGGGTGCTTGCGGGTGCAGGTGCGGGTGCATAAGGGTGCATCCGGGTGCCTGTGGGTGCAGGAGCGGGTACGTGCGTGCGGGTGCAGATATGGGTGCGTGTGGGTGCAGGAGCGGATGCGTGTGTGCGGGTGCGTGTGGGTGCAGGAGCGGGTGCGTGCGTGCGAGTACAGATACGGGTGCGTGGGGTGCGTGCGGGTGTGTGCGAGTGCGTGCGAACGCAGGTGCGGGTGCGTGTGGGTGCAGGTGCGGGTGCGTGCGGGTGCATGCGGATGTGTGTGGGTGCAAGTGTGGGTACGTGCGTACGGGTGCAGGAGCGGGTGCGTGCGTGCGGGTGCAGATACGGGTGCGTGCGGGTGCGTGCGGGTGCGTGCGGGTGCGTATGGGTGCGTGTGGGTGCAGGTGCAGATGCATGCGGGTGCGTGATACTGTGGCCCATAAACATTTACATCCATACTTAATTACGTATCAATATGCAGATCCGTTGGCACCCCTGAGGACTAAGATGGAATTCCTTGTTTCCAGTAAAAAGGGTCTCCGAATCTCTACATTCAACATACGAAACAGCAGTATTAACCCTTAAATGGTCACCCCTAGATGCTTTGGGTTAAATACGTTCAAATCTTGGTTTTGGGTTGGATTTGGCATAGAAAAGAAAAATGAAATTTTTCAAGTATCATTAATTTTAATAGTTTTTTTAATGTCCTATATAATGGACATTGCCCATTATATGTGCAAGTACGGTAAACAAAGATCACGTAGAACGGACATTGTCAACAATTTGCTTGCAAACATGAATAACAATTAACATCAGATTATAATTAGAAACCATCCAAAATCAGTCTCTTAAATCTCAGAATAATAGTAAAGCTTTAAAAAAATCAATAAAACAATTAACATACAACATTTTTTCAATATTATTAAAAAATAAAAATATGTACAAACAATCAATTCCTGGTGTTTTGGTTTTCGACGTACCATTCCATAATAGTGACTGGTTCTTGGGCACAAAACGAACTTGCTCTGTAAATACATCGACTGTCCATCCACTTTATTACGGATATTCTTGGAATTATCACACAACTACCTCAAAATTTCCTCTTCTCTTTTTCATCATAACGTCATAAGTCATGAGCTTACAATTTTATTTATACTTCAGATTAGCACTACAGTAATCTTCGAATACCAGCAAGTCTACAATACCCATCACGATTTCTATTCCAATAATATATCTATTTCTTTTTGCGTCACACTTGTGGACTCACTGCTACTTTGTACTGAATATAAATTTGTCGTTTCAACTATTAAATCTAATAACTCATCGCTGAAGAATTTAAAAAAAAATTGGATGAATAGGAATAAGGATGTCATGGTATTTTGAAGCTGGTGTAGACTAATGTATTTGCAGATCCGGTATATTTCCTGTTTTGAAATACAAAATCTAATTTCTTTATTATACGCTTTTTAACTAAAGGTTTCGTTACCGCTGGCAGAAGCATAAGTGACGTGTCTATAGGTGTGATTTTATCAGGTTTAACGTGTTTCCGTGTTTGACATCAGTGTAGGCCTGGAAAAAACTTGAGGATGGTGTTACTGCAAATATTGGTGATGGTGTTTCAGGTATATAACATGATAATGGGGCTTAAAACTTAGTGGGGTGTGGAGACGATTTATCTCGCGCCGTCTCTAGTCTCTGTTTTTCAGTAATATAATGTTCGAAATCGGTATATTCCTGTCCATTTTTGTCTTCGCTGCTGCTGAGATCAGCTAATAAGTCATATTATACTGTAGAAATGTACAAGGTGAAGATGAATCACTTATACCACAGCTAAAAAACTCACGCCGCTGGTGGTTGACTTATAAATCGTTAATAGTCTGACTCTTCACAATTTGACGGAGTTATCAGCGATATGATTTTCTTTGATCTCCGAGTCATGTTATTGTAAAATTAAATTAAAAAAGTCGAAAATATGATTGAATTTATTGGCGACGTCCATTACATAGGACAATTAAACGAAACACTTACAAGTAGGCCGATTTGGAAATGTCCGTTACATGTGACACACAAACAATACCCTAGTCAATAGCTTAAGTTGGCAAGGTCCGTTTTATGGGACATATAAACAAACCAAGTTTTTGACAATGTAATTAGTATAATGTTTAAACAAAATTATTATAGTAGAATACCTTTATTTATATTCTAACTAAAAAAATAACGTCATAAACAAAACAACCAAAGTACTCTCCTTTATCATCAAATTTATCAGTAGCGTAAACAAGTCTGACCGTTGCACTTTTTTAAATAGTTATTTTACGCGCCCATTTATTACTGCATCATCGCAACATGCTCGAGCGCGAAGGTGATAACTAATTCAAGATCTTAACGTATTGTCACAGAACATATGTGTATTAAAACAGTCTCTAAGTGTGTCTAAACACTACGTCCTTTAAAACGGACGACATCAATTTAAAGTTAAGCTGCTATTTTACGCGGGTATTCTGAGAGAGCGTGGTTCTTTCCCGGTAGAGCCGACCTATTCCTGCTACAACCATAATACCTTCTTTACTGGAAACGAGGCATTTAATCTTAGACCTGATGGGTAAAAACAGCATCTGCATTTTGATTCCTAATTGAGGATAAATGTAGATGTATATGCGCCACTGCATCCACTTACCATCAGGTGGACTGTGTGCTCGTTTGACACACTTAATCTATATAAAAGAAACTTCTTAAGCCACCTACGACGAAATTTACTATACGACGGAATTATATTGATTGTTAAGGTTCACCCTCACCACACTGATCTAAAAACATCGATTCCAGTACAACACGATCTACAAACAGCGTTCAACAGTTCATCTGGAATACCAAACGGAATTGCCCAATACGAGTCGAGTTGCGAATTCGCGCGCTTTAGAGACGCGCTCTGACTGGTGGGCGCCAGCGCGCAGTGCGCTGCCGCGGCGCAGCGTCGCGCGCCAGCTGGCCGCCGCGCTCGCGCCGCCCGTGCTGCTGCTGCTGCTGGCCGGCGCCGCGCTCACCGCCGTACTGTGCTTCCGTTATGCCACCATGTCAGTACTTTGATTTTTTGCTACAAAATCGAAAAGTTAAATGAAAATGCAAACTTTACCATTACAGTTAATCAAAAGTCCATTGCTTCACATAAGCCTCTCCCATATATAGCTTCATAGGGGGGGGGGGGAGTTGCCATAGCTGCCTCACTTGGCAAGCGGATTGGCAGGAAAATGCTGCGGCTCATCTCCTGGTTTTGTTTCCCCCTGTCACCTCTGACGACACCCACGTCATGAAGTATTTCAATACATGGTCAGTTTTACATATTTTTTAACATAGATTTTATTATTTTGTGCCAGTTCAAAAATTTTAATCAATTTTTGAACCATTTGCTGACATCTGATTGAGCTACAATTCGGCATAAAAATGCTGCCATGATATGGTAATGATATGGTGCCATGGAGCTGATATGATGGTGGACCTTGGTGCTGGCCCTAGCAATGTTTAGAAGCTTTAATATTTAATTAAGTTTATCACAATTATATAATATTGTTAAAATAGGGATTTAACACTAATGTATCTTCCATGTCGTTTGTGGCGAGAAATGAATAAATTATTATTATTATTATTACTATACAGTAATATATTGCTTGGTATAGCTGGGAATTTTCATTTTACATTGGTATTCTGTGCCAGCGTGATCAATTACTATTTACTACTCGACCCGACACATTCGAGCTGTGCTATAATAACACTGCAATGCAGCGCCTTACTAGGTATAAAATATCCCAAATATTTTTTTTTAATTTTTTAGACGTGCAGGTTTCCTCACGATGTTTTTCTTCAACTGTAAACACGAGGAGGAACAGCGCTATACAGGTTCGTTAGTGCTCGTGTTGTTGCTTGTGTTTTGTTTTCTTTTATCAGCCTGTAGTCCACGGCTGGACATCGACCTCTCCCGTTGTAAGAAGAAGGTGAGCGTTAACCGCTCGAGCTACCACATGCAATGAATAGCAAAGTCATTAATTATCTTACTATTTAAATAATCATTGTAGAATGAAGCTATTTTTCATGTTAATTTCAGGACAGACCCAGAATCAGAAAACTTTCTGGAAAACATATATCATATTTGTATCGATTATAAAAGAAAGAGGTTTGTTAAATATGTGTTGGTGTGGAACTAATAAATTTTTATAACAGGACTAATCTCATAATTTAATTTAAATTAATCTTAAAATATAAATTTACTTACTTGTACGACTGTTGGGCAGAGGATTTTTTTTTACTAACATCAATGCTAACGTGAGCATTCTAACCCTTATATATTTCCCCACTTCTTATGTAAATACTTTTGTTTTGTGTTTTTAAATTACAGCTTCGTAAGTCACGAAAGAAAGCAACAAAATATTTTTTTTTTAATTTATTTTATGTACACACATTAAGATACAGAAGCAGTCTTATAGTAATTTCGTACAAAGGTTCTACTTATTCCAAATTAGCTGAAATGTCTTCCAGTAGACATTAGTACTACTAAAAAATAAATAATATACACAATGTTACGTAAATTATATAAAATAAAACAATAAATAAAAATAAAATCAATCAATAAATAATAATAAATACGATAGTTACATATGATATATATATAAACTATAACTAATATAATAGAATAATATATATAAATTAACAGGATGCAAAGTAGTTATCTCTAAGACGTTTCTTGAATACCAACAAAGTTTCGGAATTTCTTATATTTGACGGTAGTGAGTTCCATAATTTTACTTTTTATTCTAACCCTATTGTTAATCTTGATATTTTAAACTTAAATAAAAAATAATGTAATTTTACTCAATTGCTACGTTAAAACGATTCAAATCTCTTACAGAGCACATAAATCTGGGAAGGTGGAACTGTGCAGATACGGAACTGGCAACACGGATCAGACCCAAATCGCCGATAACACTAGTAATAGAAGCTTGGGAGTCAGGTAATTACTTTAAACATTTATACACTTTATTATTTTGTCCTTTAATGACAATAGTTTAACTACTACGCATTACCTAAGTTTTAATAGGCAGTATGATAATCATAAGAGGTTAAATAATTTGAACGCCGTAAAAATGCCTCAATAAAATATTTCGGGATTATACTAATGTTAACTATTCGCTAATCGCGGTGCCATAAATCATCCGTGCGCTGGGGATAAATGCGTGCGGTACATCACTTATCGATAACCCCTTATTGATTCCTAGAAGGATAAAGAATAGTGTGTGCTGGTGCGCGGTAGTTTATTAATAAGTGCTGGTAATTTAATAATTACTCTGCAAGGATAATTTAATAATTATTAATTACGTTTAGATGGTATAACATGTTTAAATATGCTTCTGTAATCATTTATCAAGTGCAAAATATCTTGGAATACTATTGTATCAGCGATTATCTCGGCATCTACATATTGAACTGTTAATGACTAATGACTAGGATTAGAAAATTCATATGGTTCTTCAAAATTTTGAGACATCTGGCAACACCACCTATATTAAAACAAGTATATATTTCTTTAGTTCAATCTGTTCTGGTATATTGTATTAGTATATGGGGAGGTGCTACAAAAACAAAGTTTTTAGATTTAGAACGATCTCAGAGATCATTAATGAAGGTTATGAATTTTAAACCTTACAAATTCCCAACACAAGATTTATGCACACTGTGTGATCTTCTTACAGTTCGTAAGTTATACATACTAAATATAGTTCTTAAGGTACACAAGTCCATTGCATATAACCCTGAAATTGAAAATAAAAGGAGGAAAACTAACGTAGCTCCAAGTGATCCTGTAAAAACAGCATTTGATAGACGGCAACAGGCAAAAAAGTCCTCTTATTTATATAACTAATTAAATAAAAAATTGAATATTTATACTAAAACAAGTAAAGAACGTAAGGTAATTCTCAATGAATGGCTCAAATGGAAAGACTACCACGAAATAGAAAATTTGTTAAAATAACACGGCTTACAATACACACACACACACACGCGCACACACACACACACACACACACACACACATTCGCGCGCGCACACACGTCTTCATATTTTTTCATAATTATTTTAGGAAAGGAATATTATGCTATTCTTGTAACTAAAGTATGTTAATTAAGGAAGAGCGAGTTTTTCCTGTCACAAGTATTTAAAAATACTTAAAAGGAGAACTCTAATATACTGCTATGATTGTAAATTTATTGTTACAGAAGAAACATTTTTGAATTTTGAATTCTGTAATCATTTGACATTTGGACGTTGCTGATTAATTGATAAGTTAAATAGAACGCATTTTGGAAAGCAATATTAAACGTAACGTTACGTAAAGGCATAAATATTCAACTTCAAGCGAGCATTGTTATTAATAATGTGCTAACATTTTTAAGAAAAGTTAAAGAAGACCCCGAAACATTGATGAGAATACAAACAGATATTTCGATAGAACTGATATGTTGACTGTAAAGGCAGAAGTGGCGAGTAAAAACACCGCGTTTAAATTTTTCGACGTGGAGTAATTAATTCACACAGCCATTGCAAATGTAACTGTGGAAAATTGGCGAAAATGTGTTCTACACACCGAGGCACTTTAAGAAGAAAGTTTACTAAAGAACATTTATGTGGGAACATTTAAGATGACTATAGCGATAGTGACTCTGACTCGGACGAAGATTAATTATCGTATACCTATTTTAAATTTTTATTAATTTTATTTAGTAAAATGTACAATTATACTTATCATTAACAATAATACATATTGTTAATGATAAGTATAATTGTTAAATATTTTCTTTTTATTTTGCCTTATTTAAGTAAATAAGGCTAAATAAAATAAAGATAAAAATTTATTAAAAAGTTTTTATAGTATACACATCGACACTACAGTGGTGCATTACTAGGGCTGCCGTTAGGTCCGTAAGTGCGACAGAGATCGCAACAGGCGGAGTCTTGTTTCCATATTTTATAGCACCGCAGGCAGCGAGTGTTTAACATTAGTATAGTATTTTTGCGCTATTAAACCAATGTTCTGGATCAGAGGTAGCAAAGTTAAAAAATTATCGTAAAAATAATGGGTGCGTTTGGCAGAAAAAAGCGCTAGCAAGCGCTTGTAAGCAAAATGGCGATCGTAAGCGGTAAGCGCTGTCAAATCGTAAGTAGCTATTTTCCTCCGGGACACGATGTTAGTTTTAACTGGAGAACCTAACCTAATTTAAATATATGTTTGTAAAGTATTCATATTAAAAACTTACCAATCATGAATTTTTAATAACATATATATGTTTATTCATGTCAATATATTACTTAAAACTAATATTGCACAAAACAACTTATAAACTCTACTTCAAAACAAACAAATTAAATAAGCAAAATGGCGGATTGTGGATTGTAGCAATCGTGTTCTGACCGAAAACTATTTCAGCGCTTGTAAGCGCTTGCTAGCGCTTTTTTCTGCCAAACGCACCCAATGTGTATGATAATTTTTCTATTTATGACTAAAGCTGCTACAAAGAACCTTCTCTGCATATTGTGTACGGACAAATTGACATACAATCTATGTCTATACAGACAACACGGGTATAGATAGATAAAACGCCGCCGCCCGACTGATGGTTAAAATTGGTAAAAATCCATTTATACCCGGATGAGTTTTCGGAGATGATTCTACCGCCTTCTATTTGAAGCCACAAAGACTTTCTGGCATTTTTCATTGTTACGTCTTATGATACCCACCTGATGAAATAGGGTTTTTACGCGATAGATTCTTTTACGCGATCCTTCACTGCTGGTCGTATGGGGACGCTCAAGGTCGCTCAGCGAGCTATGGAGCTATGCTCGAGAGGAGAGGGCTATAAGTGGAGTTTCCCTGCGTGATAAACTCAGAAATGAGGATATCCGCAGTCGAACCAGAGTAAGCCCAACGGATTAGTAATCTGAAATGGCAATGGGCCGGCCATATAGCTCGATGAACCGATAACCGATGGGGAAAAAAGGTTCTCGAGGGACAGCTTCGTACCAGTAGGCGTAGTGTAGGGCGACCCCCCACTAGATGGAGTGATGACCTGGTAAGACATGCAGGAAGTCGATGGATGCAGGTGGCTCAGGACCGCGCTTTGTGGCATTACTTGGGGGAGGCCTTCGTTTAGCAGTGGACTTGTGAAGGGCTGTAATGATGATGATGACGCAAAAAGGATCTTTTCAAATACGAAGCACACCGTTTATTTTTGCATAGAGTAAAAAAACTATTCGAGTAATAGTCGCAAATGATACAAAAAAAACAAATTGAAGCAGTTTATTACCTTTAAGCTTTGAACATCAATATTTCAAAAATAGTTTTTCAATCTCAAATAACTAATACAGAAATAAAATATTTTTCACAGCCCTAACAACAGCCTGGTGAGGCCCAAATCATCGACCAACTTAGCTGGCACCTACAACCGGCCGCAACCTCCTCCCTATGTGGGCTCTACAACGAACTCCCTTCATCATCGCAAATCTGGGAACAAGGCTGATACACCTTCCACCAGTGGCCATACTCCAGAACACAATATCGGTCATCTGGCTTTGGAGGAATCACTGAAATTACTTAACGAAGCAAATATCGCTGGTGATTTTGATGGCATCCCGATTTCGAAAGATCCAATTATCGATTTGAACGACGGCACTGAGGATTACGTCTTAGTTAAACCTGATCCAACCGCGTATATTTCGAATAAACCGGATGTAACCGGTTATATCTCGATCAAACCGGATCTAGACGACATTAACGTACCCGAATTGGCTAAATATGGTGTAACAGGCATTGGCGCTATATGACAGAGCGTTTCAACGGATCGCTCTCAGCCTTCGGTCAAAACTTGGTTTTGTTAAGTCTAATCACATCATACTCTCGAACCAACGAAGAGATAGATGGATGTATCTGCGTGTATTTCAAGTGAACACAGATCATAAATGTGATCTAAAGCGGGGAATTCACTAGACGGACTTGCCCACGGGCATGTCTTCAGTCTGTAGACTACAGACGTGGCCGCCGGACTTCGCTACTGTAGGTCTGTGCAAAGTTTGGTAGTGTAGGACCGTCGCAGTCGGTCTGGCAGATTTACCTGTTTAATGTCCGCGCGATCTCATTTTGTCTGCGCGCTCACAGACATGCCCGAACGTGAATGTTAACTGCGGGCTGTCTGTTCACAGACACTAGAGCTACAGCAACCAGTCCAGACGGCCTTTTATTATTAATTAACGAACTTTGGAGATTTTAATTTACAATGAGTTTTAATATAATAAAATATTCTGGGAAGAGTTTATACGATGCGCAAGTAATTGTACAGGTCTCCTGGTTCATACATTTCTAATTCTTTATGTAAATTGATATGGCTACACTTATTTCAATGTTTATACCACTTTTTTTTAATGTACCGAATTCTTTCCTTTTTTTATTATCGGACAGTATTAATGCAGCACCAGTTACTATTGCAATTTTCGTCGTTGTATTGCGGCGACAGACATGCCCAGACAAACAGCCCGTGAGTATGTTCGTCTAGTGAATGCCTCGCTTAAGGGGAAATATAAACTCAAATGGCTTAGCAATATCTTCCTTTATGCCGAAAATAATAGAGCATTAATTTTGAAATAAATATATGGTGAAGTTGAGGATTAATGTTAAGTACTATGTTAGACGAAAACATGATTCCGTAAAATTATCTCGATAGAGAAAAAATCCAAAGTTACCTTTGCTTGGAACCGGGCGGCAGGAAACAAGTTTCAGGACGTAGGTAATTTCTTTTTACAGTGAAAATAATAGTAATTTAAAAAAAATAAAAAATATAAGCCCTACTTTATAGTTAGTTCAGTTAGTATGCGAAGTTTCATGATCTTATTTAAAGTATTTTATGAATAACAGCGGTTTATTGTTCAGTTTGGAGGTAACTTTGGATTTTTTTTCTATCGAGAAAATTTTACGGAATCATGTTTTCGTCTAATATAGTACTTAACATTAATCCTCAACTTTACCATATATTTATTTCAAAATTAATGCTTCAATATTTTCGGCATAATGGAGGATCTTGCTAAGTCATTTGTGGTTATATTTCCCCTTAAATCCTATTGTAAGAACACGCACTCTCGTACCTCGTACCTAAAATCATTTGCAACTAACAACATGGTTCTTGGTGCGTACGAGCCCGTCCAGTAGTAAACTTTTGCGGGCTGCTAATGAAAGAAATAATATAGATGTGTGCGTGTCAAATGGTTGAACATGGTTTCGGCGTCCTTTGAAATGTAAATGCATAATTAGCACAATGTTCTTGTCTATCTTCTTTGTTGGTCTGTGAGCATACTAGATAAACTGCAGACAGCTCGTGTTACACTGATTTTTTTGAATACTCGTATCAGTTAAACGTGTGTTGTGTTCTTATCTCAATTTTTATTTCACAAAAAAACTAAAAATCTATTGAATTAAACTGGCTGAAGTACAATTATGTTTTTTTATACAAAGCACTCACTGATACTGTTGCCAACTGTTATTAAAAAAAAGTAGGATTTTACAAACAAATCTGCGAAATTATATATGGTTTACAGGTAAATATAGAAATATACTAGGTACTTTTGATTGATTTGTTTTTAAGTTTATATTTTGGAAGGTACTTTTGTCGGTCTTCTATGATTTTTTCAATGATCTGCAAGTGCAGAAAGATTAAATCATTTTTAAATTATATCGCCATTACAATCGAGGACAGATGTGGGTGTCTATGAGCGACAGCATCCACACGTGGACTGTGTTCATTTGTTATCGTAATTCTAAAAATTAAAGGCTTATTTCATAATTTTCTTTGAATATTTTTACAATTCATCATATGGTTGGACGTCGGTTGAATTAAGTTGCAAGGGGCATAAAAATCTTTTTATTGTTTGTTGCTATAATACTTCTATGATTTATATTATTTAAGTAAGAATTTTCAGCAACCTCTCAGAAATGAGAAGAGGCCTGCGCACAACATTGAAACGTATATAGGCTGTAACTTTAACTTAACATTTTGTGACCACAACCGTTGGTGACCCCTGCTAAAGTCCTTCAATATTTAATAATGCAATACCAGTACATGTATTTTAAAGATTTATAATTATAATGATAGTCACAATGTTACTGTAATAATATTTTGAAATAAAATGATACAAACCATTTATATAAAGTAGTCCATTAAAGTAGGTAGCATTAGAGCTTTAAATTGTCTTTGATGTCTGTTATTTATATTAGCAAGTTGCATCAAATATACTATCATTATTAGCCATCCAACTTAAATTATAACCAAGATATTATAACGGGTTATCATACAATTTAATAATTTTAAGATTGTTATAATATAGATTACCTTTTTTACATTCTAGAAATAATAGGATGTAACAAGTGAACGCGGTAAAAGTCTATCGAATCTAATAAATCGAATCTACAGCACTGATATTTTACAAAAAAATTTTATTAAATAAATTAATTAATTAAAATCACTATAGACCCTGCGAATTGGCAAGGTCAAAGATGCCTACTAAATTTATTGTTTTATTGCCGTTCGTAAAGTAGGGTAGATATGATTAGAATTTCGATAGATTTTAATTTATTTCTTTATATATAATTAAAATTTTATTTGTTGTAATATATCAGTGCCATAGGCTTCTATTCCGTTCAAATGTTACACCCTATTTTTTTCCAGAAGGTAAAAAAGGTCATCCAGTAGTTTATCACTTTTCTAGTCAATGTTAGCTGTAATAGTTTAAAAATTTATTAAAAATAATTTCAGTCATTTTATGCCTTTTTTTTCAAAATCCTGCTAAAAGAATACTGCCCTAACTGATGGTCTTAAAGAAGCAAAAGAAACTTATTAAGTATACATCTAGCACTTCTTTTCCACTCAGGAGTCAATCTGGTTCAGAAATAAGTGAGAGGGGAGTACCTACTCCCCTCTCACTTATTTCTGCTGCAAAGCAGAAGAGCGTGCTCTGCTGTGTTCCGCTCTGAAGGGTATAGAGAGACAGTATACTGGTGACCTTATTTACCGGCTGAAAAAATAGGGTGTAAAAAATAAAAACAGACATTTTGAATTAAATGTTTGAAAAAAAATTTTTTGAACAATTACTTTGTCCTTTGCCCTTGAGCCTGTGACCCTGACCGCGAAGATGACAAGGTCAAAGATGCCTACTAAATTTATTGTTATATTGCCGATCGTATAGTAGTGTGGATAAGATTAGAATTTCGATAGATCTTAATTAATTAATTAAACAAAAAAAATATTAATTTTTTGTAAAATATCAGTACCATAGACTTCTACTCCGATCACATGTTACACCCTTTTTTTCGGACGGTAAAAAAGGTCATCCACATAGAGTAATTAGACTTAGAGGGATAGTGTCATTCAAAAATCCGTTCGAAGTTGAAGCAACAATATAATGAATGTGTGCATACGCGGCCTATAATTACGTTTGCCCACACTCCCACAATCAATTGAGTAATGTTTGAAGTAAATGACGTTTTCCCCAAAAATGGGAAAATTGTAATAGTAGACATAGTGACAGAATTAATATTAAGATTGCGTTTAGAATTATTTATAAATTATTTGCAAAGAGAGAAATTACTTATATTTGTTAATTAATGTTTTATTTATTTTTATACGCAATATCTTGTGCTATAATATATATATATATATATATATATATATATATATATATATATATATATATATATATATATATATATATATATATATATATATATGTGTCGAAGCGGAAACCTCGGGGTTGTTTTTATGGAGAGGCAGCACCACTGTCCCCATTTGACAAGGGTTCGGTCATGCTACCGTATATTGTTTCCATTGTAATGAAGGAGATCTATGACCACAAACTTTTAATTTTGCACTACAATACCTTTATTCTACACTTCTTATTATGAAAACTCACAAATAATACTCACAAAGTTTTACCAGGAAAATAGAACTACTCTGACGGGCGCAGGAACAGAAGTGATTCTATTCCCGCGTTCATACAATAAGGAAAACGTAATAACGACTTAGGTGTGCTCTGATTGGTCGACGATTTGATTGGTCAATACTTCACTAAACAAGAACTTTTTATTGAATTCATTAGGTTACTTAAGTAATTTCAATTACCAGGATTAATAATCAAATCGACAAAAATTTGTTTCTACGATTTAGAACAATATTTGAGTCAAAAGTTGATAATCGAATAAATAGTTGTTTTAATAGGAATTAGTTGTCAATAAAGAGATTTGTAAACCAAAAGAGTTTTTAGCTAGTTACATAATGTTATGGTTCTGATAAATTGCTGTTATTAAATTGTAGTATTAATAATTATACACTGTTGATAATTATAATTTATAACAATTAAAAGACAATGCAAAGTTTAGGCTTCGTCAACAGAAGATGTCCTTGCGGCGACACACAAACACACACACACAGACACACACACACACATATATATATATATATATATATATATATATATATATATATATATATATATATATATTCACAAATCTATTATGTTATTATATTATTCTGTTAGAAGTGATACATTTATATAAGTAAATAGTATTATATATTTATATAAACATAATATATTTTGTTTTTTGTTTTGTATTAAAAATTAATAACGCAAACATAAAATATTGCCGCTTCCAGCATTATACGTTTACGAAATCTGTATATTTCTTCACAAAAATAGAAATTTATTTGAAAAACACAACGATGTTGTAATTAGGACTAGTAGAAAAATACATAAATTATGTGTACCGAAACAAAGAATACAACTCT